CAGTAGCTACTGGACACACGTGGCCACTTGAGCTTTAACTCAATAAAGTCAAATAAACTTTAAGATGCAGTTCCTTCCTGACAAGCTGCATTCCAAATGTTCAGTAGCCCTATGCAGCTGTGGGCTCCAGTAAGGCCAACAAGACAGAAAGCCTGGCCTCACCATAGGAGTGCTCTGGATACAGCTGCTCCAGGCAATTCCTTCAGAACAGAACAAGCACAAATAATGCCAGCGTGTACATTAGTGCCCAGTGGTGTTGCTTTAGCTGCTATGGTCCGATGAGAAAAGCGTAGATATTGACAACTAGCACACATGAGCCAAATACAGGTGTGCACAACTCCCACTGTGATGGTTTTGCAGCAGTGCACCTAGAAAAAACAGTGAGGGAACTGAGCCACTCTGCAAGGCACAAGGGTAACTGTGAGAATGCTTTTCCAATAAAAGGGGTCCACGCATTTCACCAGTGAGAGACATACTAGGGTAGGCAAAACATTTTTAAAAGCTCAAATTTGCCGGGCTCGGTGGCTCAGCCTGTAATACCGCGCCTTTGGGAGGCTGAGGTGAGTGGATTGCCTGAGCCCATGGGTTCGAGACCCGCCTGGGCAGGCGAGACCTCATCCCTACAATAAATTAAAAAATTAGCTGGGCATGGTAGCACGCGCCTGTAGTTCCAGCTACGTGGAAGGCTGAGGCAGAAGGATTGTCGGAGCCCAGCAGGCGAGGCGCGGTGGCCGGGAGAGGCCACTGCACTCCAGTCTGGGTGACAGAGTGAGACTCCAACTCAAAAAAAAAAAAAAAAAAAAACTCAAATTTTGGAGGCAGGATCGACCTGGGTTTAAATCCCAGATCTGATTCTTTGTCATGGAATAAGCTAAAGTTCTTTGAGACTCAATTTCCTCACCTGCAAAAATGAGGATAGACACCTCCTTTCTTAGGGTTAAGCGATTAAGAGAGAGTACACATGGGAAGGTGCCAAGGACACTGCCCAGCACTTAGTACATGCTCGAAAAGATCCGTCTATTCCTTTAAAAATGCTTGTAAATACATTTCTAGGGTGCATACAAGCCAAGTCATTTATGTTCAAATAAAGTAGCCACATCTACAAGTCAAGGGCCAGATGTGCACAGCTGTCTACACAGGCTGTGAATGCAGGCCATAGGTATCTCCAGAGGGCAGCCCTCATGGCTCCCGGGTATTATCTTCAATAAAGCTGATTCATGAAGGCTGTAACTAATCATGACATATGTCCTGTAACTTTGTGAGCCTTTCTACATAAAAGACTTGCCCAGTGCCAACGTGTGCTCAAATCATCATCATTCAGCGTCAGGAAGTCAGGGAGAGGTAGCCATAATTCCAGGTGGGGGTCTCTCAGCCTCTGCACTAAGGACATCTGGGGGCAGATCATTCTTTGCCTAGGAAACTGTGCTGTGCATGGTGAGATGTTTAGCAGCACCCCACTAGATGCCAGTGGCACCCTACTCCTCATTGTGATGACCAAAAATGCCTCCATACATAACCAGTGTCTGCTGGGGAACAACCAACCCAAGTTGAGAACCCCTGTTCCAGAGTGAGGGAAAAGATATGAGGGAATGTCTGTGCTCCTGCAGCAGCCAGTCTCAAACATGCATCAGTGTCACTCAGTCCTTAGAATAAGCTTGATGCCTGCTGTCGTCCCTGCTTAACAGATGGGAGACTGAGGCCCAGAGATACTAAGTAATCATCCAAGGTCTCTTGGCCAATAAGCTTTGGAACCACAATCCAAACGAGCACTGCCTGGGGGGAAAGGGGGAACACAGGGCTATGCAATACTATCTCCTTTCAAAATAAAGTTCTCTCCCAAACACAAAGTCTTTCTAGAATCTTACTGGGTTACTGGTCAATCAATATTTACTACTAAGGCAGCCAAAACCTATCGCCTAATGCGACTACCAAAAATAATTATGTTAGTTTTGAAACAGATAATCTTATGCTATTAGTTTATGGCAAAAAACAGACCTAAAATTGGCCTGCTGAGCAAAAGCCATTCTCAGTTTATGGCCATATACTATGTCATCGGTATAAGGGAGCAGGTTTAGCTTTCTGTTTTCCGTGCTGAAAGCCCAGTGCCCTGCATCAGCTCACCCAAAGTCCCCAAGAAGAAGCTGCTGCTTTCAGCAATCTGAGTCCCACTGTGCACAGGGTTTCGTGCTGAGCAATTTACACACATTATCTCCTGTGATCCTTAAAAAAACACTCTGAGCTGGGAATTATCACCCCCATTTTACAGACAAGAAAACTGAGTCTCAGAGAAAGCAGATAACTTGCTAGTAAGTGGCTGAGCCAGGATTTGAAGTCTGTCACCAAAGCTCCTACATATGAACTGCCATATTGCATGGCCATGACAGTGCAGGTTAAAGGGAGGGGTGGTTTCACCCTGTTGGGAACAGTCATGCCAGGCAGGCCAAGACAGTTGAGCTTCTCCTTCCTCTCACAGTGAAACTCAAAGTGGGATGGGTCACCTGGACTCTCCCACTGGAGGATCGCGGATGCCTCTTTGGGATTCATGGATGAAGGAAGCATCTACCAAAGGCTTTTGCTCAAAACCATAGCATGCACCAGCTATGTCAGAGGCCTGCGGCTCCAGGAGTACAGTGTGGGAATGGATAAGAACCGCTGAAAGTTTACTTGCTGGCATGGTTACTTCTTGAGAAAAGATTGATGCTATGAGAAAGTTAATGCAGCCAAGAAAAACCAACTGTAGATAAAAGCTGATTTTCAAAAAGTCATTTAAAAGTACAACTTTAAAAGTGAATAGAATCATCTTTGTCTTTTTCTTTTTTTAAGATAGGGACTTACTCTGTCACCCAGTCTGGAGTGCAGTGGCACAATCATGGCTCACTGCAGCCTCAAACTCCTGGGCTCAGGAGATCCTCTAGTTTCAGCCTCCTAAGTAGCTGGAGCTATTTGGAAGGTGTGCACCGCCATGCCTGGCTAATTTTTGTTTTGAGGTGTTTTTTGGGGGGTTTTTTTGGTAGACATGAGGTCTCACTATGTTGTCCAGGCTGGTCTTGACCTCCTAGGCTCAAGTGATCCTCCTATGTCAGCCTCCCAAGGTTCTGAGATTACAGGTGTGATCCACCATACCTGGCCAGAATTTTCTTTTTCTTTTCTTTCTTTCTTTCTTTTTTTTTGAGTTGGAGTCTCAGTCTGTCACCCAGGCTGGAGTGCACATGGCCACCACAGCCTCAACCTGCTGGGCTCAGGTGATCCTTCTGCCTCAGCCTTCCAAATAGCTGTAACCACAGGCAATCACCACCACACCCTGCTAATTTTTTGATTTACTGTAGAGATGAGGTCTCACCAAGTTACCCCTGGACTCAGGCAATCCTCTCGCCTCTGCCTCCCAAAGTGCTGAGATTACAGGTGTAAGCCACTGCACCCAGTCAGAATTTTCGTAAAACCTATTGACATCAGCCCAAGAGCTTGTGAGGATAAGTGTCTCAACACCTGTGGAAGGAAATTGGTTTTACCCTCCACATTGTGCACTAGGGTTCTTAGAAAAGACTAACGCCCACACCTCTGTAAAACAGCCAGGAGAGGGCGCACATGTAACCTGATGGTCAAAAAAAACCCAAAAAAAGGTCTGAAATTGTCTTCTCTGAAAAGAAGAGAGGGTCCTCTCCTCCATAGTACCTTTTTTAAAAACAAAGTCACAGCTGGGCTCGGTGGCTCAGCCTGTAATCCTGCACCTTTGGGAGGCTGAGGTGAGTGGATTGCCTGAGTCCGCGGGTTCAAGACTCGCCTGGGCAACTTGGCGAGACCTCATCTCTACAATAAATCAAAAAAAATCAGCCAGGTGTGGTAGCTCATGCCTGTAATTCCAGCTACTTGGAAAGCTGAGGCAGAAGGATCGCCAGAGCCCAGCAGGTCGAGGCTGTAGTGGTCGGGAGCAGCCACTGCACTCCAGTCTGGGCGACAAAGTGAGACTCCAACTCAAAAATAAATAAATAAATAAATAAATAAATAAAAACAAAGTCATATAATTCTACCCAAATATGTTCTGAGCTTTCTACCATCAGAACATATGGATATAATAAATATCTATTTATGATTTACCAATATGTAGAAAAACTAGTTTATAAATTGTAATAGATCTTATAAAGCGAAAGAATCAAAGCCCTGTTCTGCTGCTAAGTTGTATGGCCTTAGGTAGGTTACTTAACCTCTCTGAGTTTATTTTCCTCCCTGAAGAAATGGTGACAATGATCACCATCAAAACCACTACCACAGGTTCATTGATATGATTAGCGTTTGCCATAAGAAGTAAGGGGTGTGCTATATGCAAGGTGTCTGGCACCTAGAGGATCAGTAAAAAACCTGTAATTCCAGCACTTTGGGAGGTCGAGGTGAGTGGACTGCCTGAGCCCGTGGATTTGAGACCAGCCTGGGCAACTTGGCGAGAACTCATCTCTACAATAAATAAAAAAATTAGCCAGGCGTGGTAGCACGTGCCTGTAGTTCCAGCTACTTGGAAGGCTGAGGCAGAAGGATCGCCGGAGCCCAGCAGATCGACACTGGGGTGGCCATGAATGTGCCACTGCACTCCACCCTGAGCAACAGAGTGAGATTCCAACTCAAAAAAAAAAACAAAAAAAAACTGGTTCCCTTTCCTCGTTCTCTTTACTAGATGGTTTTATAAAACCGGTAGGGAAGTGTTCATAAAAAACAGCATCTTATTTAGCAAACAAAATTATGATATTTAATATTCTCATAGTTCTTTAGATTTTAGAATCAACAGACCTGGGTTCAAATCCAGACTTCACACTTACTAGCTGTGTGATCTCTGGGCCTCTATTTCCCCCTGTGTACAGTAAAGACAATGACCCGCACTGTCCTGAGGTAGCTGTGAGGATAAAATAAGGTGGTCCAGAGCAGGGCTTGACCACCTTGAGTGTCCCATTTATAAGCATTCTAGCCTCATGTGAAGAGACAAGCAGTGACTGTTGGAACAGTTTAGCTACCAGCAAGGAGAGGCATCACTGCCAGCTGGATGGAGAAGGTGCTCTGCTTCCAGTGGTCTGCCAGCTTGGGATCGATTTCTTCTTCTGCTCGAGACTTTATACTTTTCTTCTGGCTTTTCTTTCTTCCCTCTGAATCTTTCCCTTTAACTGCAAAATCAAAGAAGGGAGAAAAGCATTAAGAGGAGACTGATCCGAGTTGCCATGTGTGAACGTATACATGCTACAGAGATTCAGGAAGGTTCTGGAAGCTCCTAGAAGGCAGGGTTGTTCTTTGTGTGCTGCTGCCTCTTTCCAGAAGAGGTGGCTGTATAGATGACAGACCAGTAGCCAGGTATGTAGCAGGAAAAATAGAGAAATCGTGACACCGAATCTATTATAGGAAGTGGCACTCTATTACGCTGGCTAGCACAGCTGACCGAGAATTTTATGCATTCAAATCAAGCTCGAGCACCCCTAGAACAGGAGATGTGGGGTCTTATACCCTCATTTAGGTAAGGGAGGGGGGTTGTGTTGAGTGATTACATACTTCCTTTGGAATCTTACAAGGTTGTACTCAGCAAAATCAGATTTTTCAAAGAACAAATGGTTTCCAGGAACTGCAGGATTGTAAACCGTCAACTTCAGAAGGGGGGTTCTTAGATAAGTCTGAATTAGCCACTTTTTTGCATATCCTTAAATGGCTAGTCTTTGGGCTATTTGGCCTTTCCCAAACAAAACCTACCTGGCGCTCCTGGCAGGTCTTTAAAGTTGCAACTTGCCTTTCAAAAGGAAATACCTTTAACTGCTCTCAACTCCTTTCCTGCCCTGGGCTAGTGATTGCCATGAGGCCAACTACTGATCCTGAACCAGCTACATGTTTCTGTGTTTATTCACTCAATTATACAAGAAATATATTTGAGCATTTGCTGCATCCTGCCACAGGTATATGCAGGAATAGGGTGGGGGCATTCTTATCCCCTCCTGTCACCACCTGAGAACACATGCAGAAGAGGACAAAGCCTGCTATGCTGACAATGACACCACAACATTAAGGTTCTCCTTTAAGGCAGCTCTTAAGCTCAGTCTAGCGTTTAGGTTTGGGCTTTGGAGTGGAACCACCAAAATGCCAGAAGTAGCCCTCCCCGCTCCTAAAGAGCAACCTGGTGAAAGCCAGGCATGGTGACACATTACTGTAGTTCCAGCTACTTGGGAGGCAGAGGCAACAGGATCACTTGAGCCCAGAAGTTCAAGGCCAGCATGAACAACATAGTGAGATCCTACCTCGAAAAACAAAAACAAAATCAAACCAACCATTCTGAGCCTTCCAGGGTGTTGAGAAGAAGGAATGAGCAAAGCTACATACAATGCTCAGCTCAGACAAAGCTCAGATCAAGAAGAAAACAGACGCTAACACATGTGAATCTAAGGTCATTAAGAACATGCACTATTAGGTCAGCGCCATAAAGACCAATGGAACAGATTACGGTCATACCACCCTGAACATGTTTCATTTCGTCTGATCTCAGAAGCTGAGTAGGGTTAGGCCTGGTTAGTACTTGGTCGAGAAAAAGCCCAGAAACAGACCCATACACATGAAAGAACCTAACAGATACCAGAGTGAAATTTCAATCAGTGGGAAAGGGCGAACTAGCTGGTAAATTAAATGACTACCCATTTGGAAGTAAATGAGGCTATTGGTCTACTTTGTGCCATATACAAAATGAATTCCAGACTAAAGGTAGAAAACAAAAAATTTAAGGTCATTAGAAGAATACCTAGTTGATATAATGACATCTGGATAAGAAAGGATTTTTCCTTTCCTTTTTTAAGAGGCAGGGTCTCACTATGTAGCCTAAGCTGGCATTGAACTGCCTCCTGCCTCTGCCTCCCAAGTAGCTGGGATTATAGGTGCTTGTCACTACGCCCAGCTGAAGAAGGGCTGAAAACTCGAAAGGAATAGTTAAATAACTGATATACAAAACAAGACACCATGAGTCAAGCCAAAGGATAAGTTACAGATCCTCATCTGTGAGAGTTACAATGCATATAACGGACAAGGCATAATTATCCAGAAGATGTAAAATAAAGTCTGCACTATCAACAAGACACATTTTTAAAACAAAAATAAAAATAAGCAAAGAAATATGAATAGGCAAATCTCATAAGAGTATGGCCAGATAAGCCTATGCAAAGCTACTCAGGTTCACTAGCACTCAGGACCTAAGCACAGCATGGAGAACAGGAGTCCTCACGGCTGCTGGTGGGAGGATAAAAGAGGTGCCAGCCAGAGAGTAAACTGGCAGCACCTAGCAATGGGATCGAGGCATGTATCTTTTGTGCCCAGATAAATGCCTTGCTATGGTGGTGCTGGAGATCAGGAAACTGGCGACCACTCAAATGCCCTCAGCAGGCACTGGACGGATGAAGGAGGGTGCTTCCAACTAGTGGGGTCTCCACAGACATCAGAGCAAAGGGGCTGGACTCACATCTGTTCAGAAGTCCAGTTGAGCATAAAAGCAAACTGCAATAAGGTATGTGGAATATGAAATCATTTCTATAACTCATAAAATCAAAAATCAACACAATGTTGTACAAATGTGTGAGAAAGAACAGGGCGGGGAGGAAGAACACACCGGAAGAACACACCAATTTCCACGTCAGGAGGGTACGTGCCGCAAAAGGACAGGATGCAAAGGGGGTTTGCACTGTATCTATGGCCTTTTATGTCTTAAAAAAAGGAAAAGAAAAAAAAAGAAGTGAAAGAAATATGGCAAAATATTAACACCTAAATTGTGAATACATAGTTATTATACTTTCCTGTGAACTTTTCTATCTTTATTTCTTTTTTTTTTTTTTTTTCTTGAGTTGGAGTCTCACTCTGTCACCCAGACTGGAGTGCAGTGGCCACTCCCGGCCACCGCAGCCTCGACCTGCTGGGTCCCGGCGATCCTTCCGCCTCAGCCTTCCGAGTAGCTGGAATTATAGGCATGCGCTACCATGCCCGGCTGATTTTTTGATTTATTGTAGAGATGAG